TCAGCATTTCAACAATTTCAAGACTCAACGGTTTAAAACTCCTGACAAAATTATTTAAAAGTTAGTAATTAGCAGTTGAGAATTTAGGTACAAGTATTAACACTTTGAATTTTGTTATTTCTTGGTTTCTTATACGGGTTCTAGTAAGTATGAATTATTGGGCACTACTATATCAGCAGTACAATATAGATACTATCATTCACTTATTGCCATATTTCTCCTTTCTCTACTCTTTTTTGTACTTACGACTTTATACTGTTTGCTATGTTTTTTCTTGATTCATATTTAGTGGCAAATGCTTGCATTAAGACTTCAAGTAGTAATATAAAACAAGAGTATGGACATTTCATAGCAAATGAGATACGTAGTACCATGAATAATATGTGTAATTATTTTGTAAGAATTTATTTGACTTGAATAAAATATGGCATTTAGATAGCCGAAATTACTTTTACATAAAACCACAATTATTATATAGTATAGTTACAGTATTTCAGAGAATTTCATATAAAAAATTTAGCAATGCCAAATTGTTTATTGAAAATACTTTTTTTAAAAATAATTTAGACACACAAATATATATATATGAATACTAATTCTAAAATAAAATTCAATTAGTTAACCTGAGTAAAGCCATTGGAGGTCTATTATCAAATAGCTTTATTAGCAAAGAAAGCCAAAATTAATACAGGTCAAAATTTGTATAGTAATATTTTGATTATAATCTTTTAAGATTCGTGTAAGGTTTCAGAAGACAAATTTTGTGCTTTTTCAGCTAAATCTTTTTTATACTGCCATGCATAACATCCGATCTAATTCTCTATAGTTTTGAGCTTTGGTATTTCACTAGTTTCTAATTCACCAACTTCTGCTTTTTTCTCTAATGCATCAAGCATGTTCTTTGCAGTATATCGTTCAGTTTTGTCAATGTCACCAGCATGAAAAAAGCTTTTTAATAATTCTATTATACAAACTGTCATATGTTTACATCCACCCCGTTTTCCATACTCTTGCATTTCTTTCAATGTCCATCCTATGCGAAAATATTCAGATCTATACAATTTTTAGAATAAGAAAATTTATCTTACAAATTCCAATAGCGTCTAATCAATACCTGATTTCTAGCTGATTTTCTTTGTCTGAAAATGGTGTTTTTCCTTCTATGAAATTGCTCGTATTGACCATTTGTTGTGCTTCTATAAAATAAAAATGATTTTAGAATAGATATAAATATGTAAATATATTAAGCATAGATACCTTCGATTCTATTCTGGGTTTCAGATTGTATATTTGCCCTTAATATAGTGATTAGTTCTGATTTAACCAGTTTTTTATTATATTGTATGTTTCTTTGGTTCAATTCCTTTTTGATCATATTTTTTGTTAATCGGCTGGGGTTGGGACCTAAAAATAAAGTAAAATTACAAAATTATTTACGATTATATAATTACTATAAATATGTATTGTTTTTATCAAGATCTAATAGTTGTATTCAGAAAATTTTGACATTTTCTTGATAAAACAATTTGAATACATTACCATATAACTTTGAAATAATATACAAAAGCATTATTTCGATTTTTGGGTTAATCTTAGTTTAGGTTAAAATTCGAAATTACACTATTGTATATTATTTCGCGGTTATACAGTAGGTATAATTACTAGATTCTATAAAAATTTTACAAAAGGATACTTATTTGTACAAATATAGTAGCTTACCTGATAATGGCATTGGTATTATCGATTGGGAATTAGGATCAGTATAAGTAGAAACTTCAAGATTTGGTTGATTTAGATTATCTCCTTTCATTGATTTATAAATTTCTGCTAAAGATATATATTTCTATTCGCCAAAATGTGGAAGAGATCGGGCGCACAAAAAACCTGCAAATTCACCTTCTATCGGATATTTAAATTGATACCAATTGGAGATTCCAGGAAGTTTAGGCTTATTCTTATTGATATTTTTTCGATCTGGTTTAATGTTTGTTATAGTTGTTCCCCGAATATCTTTGATCGCCTTTTCAATATCTTCACCTTTATTTATACTATAGCCTAATCGAACATATTGTTTTATAGCATGGGCAATCTTGAATAAACCATTTATAATAAGTATTATGATTTATATTATAGACCTTTGTTTTAACTTACTTGAGCATGGTGGGAGTCAATGGTAGTCTTTGCCTCTTCTGCTTCTAAAAAAGTCCAACTACGTACTTCTATGCCATACCAAGAGTTCCAATTAGTAATCATTGACATTAATTTAGCACAATGATAGTGGCTGCCATTGTCTGACAGGATTTTTACCCATTTTGGTTTTGGCTCAAGCATATTAAAAACTGCTTCGAATGCTGAGGCAGTAAACTATGCATCCTGAACTGTGTCTGATGACCAATGGTCAAATACTTGAATTTGCAATTCATTAAAAGTAGACATTTTGGTATATACTAATATTGTATGTAATGTCCAGCCTGACTTTTCAAAAAAATCTGATTTGACTTCACATGCTGTTTTTTTTAAAATTCTCATTTTATAATCGGCAACCATAACCATACCTTCTTCATTTAGTTTAAGTAATTGAGCATTGAACTGAGCATTCAAATATATTTTACGTGCCTGATGTGATATATAATATTGAAGCTTTTTTCTATTCTCAATTATAAACTCAATTTTTTGTGTAATTTTGTCAACTAATTCGTCAAACAATTCAGATATCTTATTGCAGTTTTTACAATTTGAAAGATGTTGCTCTGAGCATTGACCAAATACATGTGGAAGACAATGTTCTAGAGTTTCTGTATAATATATATGACTGAAACAATCAACTTGAAGCTCTTTCTCATAGTCACGTTTTAGAAATCGACGTAAAAAATCTAGTTTATCAACTAATTGATTCTAATAATATATAGCTATAATTAGCACTAAATTTTTATTTCTTATAATTGTATCAAATATTTGCTTACCCGACTATTTTGACCTTCAACTTCCTTTTTAATTAATTCCTCTAACTCTTAAAAAACACCATAACCATATTCATTACAAATATAACATAAACTACCCAAATCATCATGATATGCATAAGGACTATTTCGTAGATGTGTCATAAAAGTTGTTCGCTTCATTCCACTTGGATATAGCTCAAAATATTTTTGCCACAAAGTTTCTTTTTGGTCTTTTAG